AATAGACCATGCATTAAACACATATACCCTGCCATAAATTCTGAAATCTTCAAGCACAGCCGACTTACAAAAGTCATATAAAATCCAATTCACCTCCATTTTTAAAGATTCCAAAACTCACTGAATCTTAACTCAAATATCTCCAACTTTTATGTTAAATATCATCCGATATAATCACATTAGATCCACCAAAACAAGTCATACATCGAGCACATAAACGCAGTGCCCAATATACAAATAATTGGGTTCACATTAACTTGTAAAAATAATAGAAAATTCATTTTAAAACATTTTTCCAAGATTTTAAATGCTACAGAAAGCCAACTGAAAATACTTTAATTCACAAGAAGAATTCAACTCCAAGAAACGAGTCCTTGAAGGTCAAAACTGAATTAGAACTGAGACTTAAAATCTGCCAAAAACCTATTTCAAGATACGGAGAGCACTTCAGTAAATTAACTCAAACTCATGATACAAATTTCGGATTAGCATGAATCGTACCTCATTAGAAAGCTAAGGACACGATCTGCAACTTTCATGAAGGTCACGTTTTCATTTGATCACTTTAAAACATGATAAATAGGTCAGACATAACATTAGTACATGCTGCCGGGTCTTTAGAAAAACTTCTCGCGCAACAATTTCGTAAAAATCATAACTTATTCGTTTCAAATCGAAATCACATGATTCCAAAGCGCATTGAAAGATAACCGGATGAACTACAATCTACATGAAGAACACATTTTCAATAGACGAGTTTTCGAAGGGAAAAACAGCGGCACAACAGAGACCATAAAAATCATGCTATTACAAGAAATCTCAAAGAAACTTAAATAAATCTATCTCCATAACATAAACAACTTATTAAACACTTAAACAATGATCCAACAACAACTATTTCCACAAACATAAATCACATAATCAAAGGAGGTTCGCTTTAGGCGATTAAGACCCGATCTTCTCAACAACTTCTCAGCACTAAATAAACTCAACATTATCAAGAACATGAGCATGTCATGGGGCTGCTCCTAACTCAGATAAATGCAGCAATAGCTCGCCCCCTTAAACATTAAAATTTCGAAGCCCGGCATGGCTCCGAACGTGCAAATAATATCCCGGCTCATCAATGACTTAGAAAATAAATATCCCGACTCTTTTTAAACTTCAAAGATATGCATTTTTCAGAGGCTACATGACATCCGAAGTTGAGAATTCAACATCATCTTGTATCAACTATATGATAACTCTCATGAACAATACACAAAAATCATATAATTTACATGAACCTTAAGACACTTAGCATAATCCTTGAATTAAAACCTATGAAATGGAAGAGAGTGATAAGCCATACACCTCCTCAAGGATCTCATGGAAAAACTGAAAGAAAACAGGAAGGAAGTCTCGGACGTAGAACTCGTCTCGGCTTCCCGCTGCTACTTCTGCTCGCGTGCGGCTCCCGGTTCTCTGCACTCGACCCACAAACGCTGAACGGGGCTTCTCATATGGGGTCCGCTGACCATGAACGAAACTCGGCTACTCACTGCTTTGCTCACGACTCCGGGACTGGCCCCGGATTGCTGCTGGACGGAAAGAGGAGTGCAGCTGCTCGACGGGAGCCTGGCTGCCACCAACATCGGTGAAACTCACCAGACAAAGACCGCCGCTTGCTGAAAAGGGCCGACAAGGACAGAGGCTTCTTCTCCGGCGATGGCAGATGCACTACTGCCGAGATTGCGTGGTTGAGATGACCTGCCGGTCTGCAAGCGGAAGGAGGAGGTCGCGACGTGACAGGGAGTTGCGTAGGAGCAACTGCAGTTGATCGATTGTGG